CTATATACATTAAATTTAAAGTTAATCAGAGAAAATATATTAATAACAGAGAAGACAGAAAATAATTTATGGCATAGGAGAATGCGACACTTAAATTATCAAGGTATGAAGATACTAGGATTACCGTTATCTAAAGAACGATGCACAATATGTATGGAAGCTAAGGGAACCCGTTGTTCATTCAGTCCAACCCTAATTCCAAGAACAAAGAAAATTGGAGAGTTGATTTACTGTGATATTGGTGGCCCGATAACACCAATAAGTAAAGATGGAGAAAAGTACTATCTTACAATAATAGATGATTATTCACATTTTATGGAGGTTAGCTTACTAAAAACAAAAGATCAAGCAAAATATTATATAATAAAATACATAAGAAGACTTAGAAATAATGATATTAATGTAAAGAGAATAAGAAGCGACAGAGGCAGAGAATTTGTGAATGATGACCTAAAATTATTCTATGAAGAAAATGGTATAGTACAGGAAACTACTTGTAGTTATACTCCACAACAAAATTCAATATGTGAGAGGATGAATCGGACACTAGCAGATAGAGTAAGAGCTATGTTGCTGGAGACAAATCTTCCAAAGTATCTATGGGGTGAAGCCATGAGGTGTGCAGCATATGTCATAAATAGATCACCTACAAAAGCACTAGAAGGTGATACACCGGCAAGAGTATGGTATGGAAAGAGTCAGCTAGATAAAATAAGAGTTTTTCGCTCGAAGGCATGGTGTGTACTTCTACCAAGGTTAACCAAATTGGAACCAAGAGCGAAGCCTATGATTATGATTGGATATTGCGGCTCAGGTTACAGACTATGGAATCCTAAAACAAATGAAATAATCGAGTCCAGAGATGTACGATTTGATAAGTCAAACTACAGATATGAAGAAAATGAAAGAATCTCATATATAGATTATGATGAAAACGGAGAGAGCAAGACTTTAACATCCAAAGAACCCCCTTCTACTTCTAAAGAACCAGAAATAGAACCATCCAGAAGCAGTAAAGGAGATGAAAGCTCAGATGATGAGGAAAACTGCAATAAAAAATAGAACTTGAACTTGAGCCGGGGTGTTGGAAATGTATCTGTGGCAGGTGTGACATCTACTGTAAGTGTAGAATGTAAGTATAGACAATTGTCTTCCGGTTCCGTTTTTATGTGGGGTTAGTAAGATATGGCGTCTTTGTTACTGTGTCTACTTGTACTGAAATAAAGAACACTGAATAATAAATAGAGGTTTTCATTGTGCATCATAAAATTCAATAATACCACTTCAATACATACATGCGGTTATGTGGGACTCACCGGCTAGAAACGTCTCAATGGGGTGTCGTAGGATCGAATTTTAAAGGAGAATCATGTTGGTTGTGATTCTATTATTTTAAGACGTGACGTTTAATCCACGTTACCATTTGCCCAGATAATGCCGTAAGTTGGATGTTCTCGTTTTCCTCTTGGTATATAAATCTTGATGTGTGGAAGTACCACGTTACCTTGTTCTTCAATTCACTTACAGTGTAACTAATGTCTAACATCCTCACAATGTTTTTGCTAGGCACTGTATCTTATGTTTCATTACGTTCTTGCATAATTATGTGAATCGTCACTTGTCCTTCTTTACCCATTTAAGTTATTCTACTGTCATGTGACTTATGCCCTATTACCTCTTGGTATGAGGATATCAAATGTAGCTAAGGCGTCTATACTCTTCGTTTTTTTATGTGCACATGTAACTTACGCCGAATTACCTCATAAGAAAAATAAGATCAATTGGTATAAGCGACAAAAATCAACATAAAACAACATCGAATCATATAAATGAAAGTGACCATTATTGCCTTTAGTTCTCTTGATTCTAGAACTGTTTCCTTTTTTACGATATGACAATAAATAAAAAAGTTATGTCCATTTTTCTGCAATTTCAAACTTTAAACAGCTCTCCTGAACAATTTCGTTTTTGTTGCTTATACCCTATTACCTTTTAACCGTCGATATATATACAATATAATTTCAAATAATATTAAAGATTTTTAAAATAATTTAATTCCAGATTACAAAATTAGTTATTATTACTATTAGTTAAAAAATTATAAGTTAATAAATAGTCACTAAATTATATAATTTTATATTTCAGCAATGTGATATAGACATTTTTTCTGATAGTTAAATTTATTTAAAAAGAAAGTGTACTTAAATATTTAGATTAGTTTGTTTTTCTTCTTTTGTTTATTGTATAACTAAAATGGCTCCTTATATACTCTTAACCAAATAAAATTTTAATGGAATACTTTTATAAAAAGCTGTGCATACTTTTAAATTAAATTTATATACAAATAGGTAAAATTATAATGTTAAATAAATGTTTTTATGTAAATTTAGTTAGTAAGCCTTTATAATAAATAAATGAATAAATAAATAGAGCTTTATTATTATTATGATTTCTTTTGCATTATTTCAATAAATTAATAATTCCACGCAAAATATTATGTTCGATAATTTCGCATGCTCAGATATAAGCATCATGGTCAAGCGGCCAATGCGTAAGTTTGACAACCACAGGTGTCTGGGTTCGTATCCCGGTCGGACACTAAGTTTTTAATTTTTTTTTTTTTGTATTTATTCAAATTGTTAGTTTGTTTTTTTTAATGTTTTTTTTGGCCAAAAACTCCGAGCAAGGCTCGGTCGCCCAGGTACTAATTAATTATAAGAGCTAACTTTGATTAAGACTATTATAGTAGTATATTTTAAATTATTATTTAATTATTCTTTTAAATAAGTAGCAATTCAATATTTTATAATTTGTGTGAGCCTGTCATTGTTTTGGTAGTTCTTTTCCTGTTTTATACAAATTAATTTGAGCTTTCTACTACTTTTTCAATTATAGTAATACAGTTTAATAAGAGTAATTATATCTCATGCCTGGTGGTGTTTGCGTTTATGTATTATGTATGATTTTACATAGTAAGGCGTGTATTTACATAGTTGAGTGTATTTTATTATTATTATATTAATTAAAATCCGTAGCAAAACCAATAAAATATGACATAATAGTAAATTTATATTTCATATGTATTATATATGTAGATACAATCAATAATAGACTACAAATAATCGATAAATAGTGCAAATATAGTGCATAAAGTTTAATTTTATTTCATTTTTAAATAAGTAAATATAGATTTAAAGTTGTATTACGTGATTAACAATGTTGTCGGTCGCGGTTTTGATATCATTTTGCGGCAAAACTTGTAGGTAATTTACTAACAGTGAAATTTCTATTTAGCTTATAAATAATATACTATCTATAATCAATATTCAAGTCCTTAAAAAATGATACTTTAATATTTAAGTTACAAAAGTGCATTATATTTTTAAATAAAACAACATAATACTATAAAAAAAAGAAAACCTATTGATTTATGCCATCTAGTATAATTGTATATTTACTTCCGCTACTCCCCGCTAGAGGGCACACTAACTCAACATTGTGAAGATTTCTTATAAAACTGTACAATGAATGCTACTTAACATAATTAATGTTGTTCATTAAAAAATTAAAAAAGAAACTGAGGCAAGTATCCTGTATTCTAGAGACTTCTGCTGCACGACGTTCTGTCGGACACACGTTGGCTGAACATGATGGTCCTGAAAATTAACAATTTTAAATGAATTAATATTATGTCTAATGACAGTTATATCATTTCCATAATGATTGTTTTCAGAATTATTAAGACAGCAGTTACAAAGAAAAATTATAAATTCAATTGTATGTTAATAGATGAAATTATTAATATTATTATAATATGAAAAATAGTTCCTAAAAAAGGTATATTCTAGTTCTCATATTTCATAATTTTACTGATTAATAGAAAATCTGACATTAGATAGTAAGTGTTCGACTGTGTATTCATAGATGGCGTTTTTAATATTTCGAGTAATACCAGATTATATTATTACAAATGAAGGAATTTAAATTTATTTTATATTTTAGTATATAAAAAAACAGATAGTTATAGATCAGCACCACCTATCAACGACCAGCTACTAACGAAAACAAAAATAGCTCAAAGAATTTGCTTCAAATTATAGTTCCATTCCAATAACAGTAACAACGAAGTATAAGTATATTATCCTTTTGTAAAAATTATACACGGATTAAATAAATAGTAATTTTATATGAGTCACCTGTAGAGGATGAAATCTTCTTTTTATCATCTCTAATAGTCACTGCCTTTTCTTTCTGACATAAAGAAAAAGCTCTTGTACATAATCAAATTCCACTGTAACAAATAAAATTTATTTTCAAGTGATTGTACATATTTATGTTTATATTTCACATTCAAGTTTCTTTGCTGTGCATTAATGTAAAGCTTTAAGTATAATTAATCTATACATGTAATAAAATTGTAACTTAGCCGAATCTGTACGTTAAATATTTATTGGAAAATCTTATTGAAATAGACATTATTATCGATACAGAGTCCGAATTTATAGTTTTTAGAATTTTTGTCTGTCTGTCTGTCTGTCTGTTACCGCATCACAGAAAAACCACTGGAGGGTTTTTGATGAAATTTGGTATGGTGATAGCTGGTTATCCTGGTCAACATATAGGATACTTTTTACCGCGGGAAAATATCTCATTTCTGAGAAAAAATACAAAAACTGCAATGTAAAAGTATACTAACGTAAAACCTAAGAATTTGGTTTTTGGTCATATGAACGCGGGCGGAGCCGCGGGCAACGCTAGTTATTAATAATAGAGATTATTTTTCTTAATTTAATTGAAGTATCTGTCACATCGCCAAAGAAGTTTTAATTCAAGCGCGCGTAAAGGTTACACGAACAATTTCTTTTTTATGTTTGAAATTATTACTCTGCATTAAAATAAACAATTATTTTAAAGAAATTAACACTTTCAATAAACATAAATAAATTCACAAATGAAAAATAATTTAATGTAGATTACAATTATTTTTCCTTAATATTATTATACATGTATACTTATTATACACTTTATCAAGGATTCCCAAAGTGGTCGATATCTGTTTCTCAGCGCAGGACAGGGAAAAATGGATGGAATTGGAGGAGGCCTACACCCTATCAAAGGGGTTCCTATAAATAGCATTAATAATGTATTCAGCCCTTCTTAACGTCCCACTGCTGGGCACGGGCCTCCCTTCAATATGAGGGGGATCAGGCCGTAGTCCACCACGCTGGCCAAGTGCGGGTTGGCAGACTTTACATGTCTTTCGAAAACTTGCTAGGTTCTCTCAGACATGCAGGTTTCCTCACAATGTTTTCCTTCACCGGTAAGGCAAGTGGTAATCATGTTGAAAATGATTCGCACATGAAAATATCAGAGGTGCGAGACCCGGGATTTGAACCCGCTTCACTCGGTTACCCATGCGAGCGCGTCACCACTGGGCTACCACTGCCTTATTTATTAATAATATTTAAAAGTTATTACTAACACTAGAATTACTCACTTACTAACATTAGTTTTAATTATGCATATTGTAATTAGTTTTTTTTTATAAGGCTTATAGGAAATAAATAGGCTTTTTAATTAATTCATTCATTTAAAAAATCTTACTATATTCATCACTAGAAAATTATTATTTTTACATAATTTCTCTTATTCATTAATACTTTGCAGTAATAAATACATTTTTTTTAAGCTATTGCATAGCTTCTATCGCGGGCCTTGAGTGTGGGGACCGAATCTAGAAATTCCGTAACGAAAAACCTGACACCCCCCACTCCGACCGGCACAGCGGTGATACTTTTTAGTTTTTCCATCTATCGATAAATAACAGAACTTTTAATGACTTTTTGTCATTAAATTTTTTTTTGTTATATCACGCTTGTCTCTTTAGTTCAACAACCCGCCTTTAGGTGGCATTGGTTGTATTGGAAAACTACCATAATCAGCTGTTTGTGAGAAAGTATATAGGTGTATAGGTATTTATCATCTATGTACAACAGTGAATATCTGTACTCGTATAATTTGTGTACAAAGTGTTTTAAATATGAATAAACAAAGTGCAT